AATTATGTTTACGACAATGCAAAAAAAAAAAAATATATATATATATATATATATATATATATATATATATATATATATATATATATATATATATATATATATATAAAATAAGCAAATACAAGTATTCAACATCAAGCAGCATAATCAGCTTTTTTATGCTTAAACATCAATGGTGAATGAGACCAGAAGTCTCAAGCCAATAAGTTTCCAATGGCTGCTCCCGAATGTATGTGAAGGAATAAGGTCAATATAATGCATTTAAAAAACTGATTTAATTACCATTTCTTTGTGTGTAATGTAATGTATTTTTTTTATTTAATGCCACGTCAGCAACCAAGGCTATCTTCATGGCAGGAATCTTTCAACAATAAATATACAATTTAAAAAGCAACAAACAAAATAAAACATAAATAAGATTTTTTTGTGTTAATACATGATAAAAATTCTAAAATCTTTTCTGGTTTCACTTTGTCAAAAATGTCCTTAAAAGAGTTCATTTCATAAAAAGTCCTTCTAGAATCAGTAAAAGCAGGACAGTCCAGTAAAATATGTTTTATAGTAAGAGGAGTTTTGCAGCACAGACGCTGAGTAGGGTTTTCACCTTGGAGCAAAAAACCATGTGTCATTCTCGTATGCCCAATACGAAATCTGGTAAGAACTACTTGATCAAATCGATTCTTAAAATGTCTTAAAATTCTGTGTGAAACTTCAGGTTGGATTTCATGTAATTTCCATTTCTTTGTGATTTGGAAAAACATCACAGTAACCAAGCAGCAGTATTAACTGAAATGTGTTTACAGGACGCTGCAGGAAAAAAGAACAAGAAGATTCTCTGAATAGTGTTCCCTCAGCAAAAGAAGTCACACACATGAGCTGCCAGTCCCAGGACGCTTCAGTCACTCCCTGTAACTGTAAAAACAGCGGCTCCCGTATGATCGGAGGCAGTGGTGCAGGATGGGAAGGCACTGCGCTCCTCCATCACGGAAGTCACGTCAAACTGGGCTGCTTGCAGTTCATTTTCAGCATCGCAGAGTTCGCCAACAAGCCACTTAAAGAGGAGCTCAGCGCCTGCAGCCTCGCTCTCACACCTGGCCAACAGGGGGAGCAGCTGAGCAAACCCAATCCTCCGCTACAACACAACCTTGTAACTTAACCCTGTACAGTTCAAACGGTTTGCTAACTATTCTATTGTTTATACTCTTGCATGAGGTGACGTTTTTCTAATTCTTTTGGACTCTTTTTGGCAGATTGCACATTTTTTGTGTCTCAATGCAAGACTTGCATTTTTAAAGGGAAACTTTGGTCATCAGAACCGTCGAGCAGTTTTCACATGTAAAGAAATCCAAACATCATCTATTTTGTGCCAGTAACAAAAGTTTTTATACAAACAAGCGTCTTCTTTTATTTTACCCATCCCATAAAAACGGATGCTTTTATTTATGTCCTCTGGAGCGAAATGTGAGGAGACTTGTAGATATGTATATGTGTGAATAGACAAAAATCCACAACATGATTCAGCGCACAAACAAAAGTGCTCCAGTTTGTATTATTTCTGCCGTGCACCATTTGGTATCTGTCTGTTTCATGTGTTCTGTAAGTTTTCACCAAGTTCTTGTGTCAAACGATGTAAATACAAACCATATTTTAAAATAACCTGCTTTAGAAATCCACAGCCTGTGTTATTGTGTCATGCTTACAGACCGATTAACTGGTCTTCTCTAAGATAAGTTGCTACTACAATTACATATACAAAGGGTTTGAAAAAATATCCAATTTCAAGAGATATATTGCCTAAATTGTGAGGCAAATTAGATTAGATTTAACTTTATTGTCCTTACACATGTACAAAGCAACAAAATGCAGTTTAGGTCTAACGAAGAGTAGGAGCAAGTGCAGGATATAAGTATAAGTCAGTGCAATAAAGTGAAGTGCAGTTATAGGGTAAACTGTAGTGATATTTAAAGATAATTTTACAATTATATGGTTCGATAAGAAATGGGGTTTGTTTGTTTTTTCTAAACCAATTTGTTTTTTTGTCCAGTGTAAAAATAAAACAAGTCAGGAATCTGGTCGATTTTAAATTGAAGGAGAGAACCAGGGAACTGTTTTTATTTGAAGTGTTATGGTTACTGAAAACTATTTATTTTTGTCTGATCCAACCCAGAATTTCATAGACAGCAACTGTATATATTATGAAAAAAAAAACATAACACTTTATATTGTAAATAACAAATAATATAATGTGTAAAAGTATAATATATATTACATTTAATTAGATTTCTATATTATGCACTTAAGTTTAATCATTCAGTTTTTATATTGTAAATAATATTAATATAATAAATGTTTAAAAGTGTGTGTGTGTGTGTAGTTGAAGTCAGAATTATCAGCCTCCCTTTGAATTTTTTTCTCTTATTTTAAATATTTCCCACATAATGTTTAACAGAGCAAGGAATTTTCACAGTATTTCCTATAATGTTTTTTTTCTTCTGGAGAAAGTCTTACTTGTTTTATTTCGACTAGAATACAAGCAGTTTTACATTTTTTAGATACCATTTTAAGGACAAAATTATTAGCCCCTTTAGGCAAATTGTGTGTCGATAGTCTACAAAAAAAAAAAAAAACATTGTTATACAATGACTTGCCTGATTACCCTAACCTGCCTAGTTAACCTAATTAACCTAGTTAAGCCTTTAAATGTCACTTTAAGCTGTACAGAAGAAAAATATCTAGTAAAATATTATTTACCGTCATCATGGCAAAGATAAAAGAAAACAGTTATTAGAAATGTTTTAGAATTGTTTAGAAATGTGCTGAAAAAATCTCTTTGGGGGAAAAATAAACAGGGGGTGGGGGAGGGGGGCTAATAATTTAGGAGGGCTAATAATTCTGACTTCAACAGTATGTTGTATACTGTAAACCCACACTTTTTTTGTCACATTCATAATTCATAACACATGTTTATTTTCCTCATTTAAAGTACAAAACATGTTTACAGCTTGATATTTTTCTGCTCCTATAACTGTGCTCAGTTGTTCTTGAAAATATAAACAGTTGCTTCAATATAATGTTAACGTATACTTTCAATGCCAATTTATGTTTTGAGTTTTTACTATTTATATATACCATAAAAGTTAGACATGATGACTTCAAAATGCCAGCAACAGAAGCCACTTGGCAACTACACAACAACGTAGCCGTGATATCTGCATAAATCCTTACTTTTCCCCTCAACAAATGTCACATATCTCCAGAGTCCTGGGGCCTGTTTCAGAAAGGAGGTTAACTGAAAACTCAGAGTATTTTAACCCTTAAATGAGAGAAACTCTGGGTTTTCCGTTTCAAAATGACAGGTTTGTTAAACTCGAGAAAGCAGGGTAAGTCAAGCCTGTTTTTTAAAAGAGAGGTAACTTTAACTCAGAGTCAGTTACTGTGGTATCTTACTCTGTGTTTTATTCTCTAAACTCAGAGTTTCTGTCGGTCTCCTCCCCTTTTTTTAAGATGAAGCGGTATTTCTCACCTGAGCCTTACATTTCCACCCACCTTTTTTAATGCTCATTTTGGATAAAAAACGCGCATAACTGAGTAGGATAAACTTTTATTCGATAGAAAATGTGCGCATAAACTACGATGGAAACACTTTTACTGAACAAATTACAGTATGTACATTAAAAAAAAGATCATGATCATATGATAATGAAAATGTGTGTAAATGAACAAACCAGCAGGCTGAGCACACTGTAACACGTCTTAAATATTGTTTTAGTCATTCTAAAATGCCTTAACTGTTTCAGTATTAGTGTATATTATTAATTACCTCCGAACGTCTGGAGCGTGTCAAGAGTCTCCGCGTCTCATGGCTTCAGACGCCCCCACGTGTTCATTGTGTTTCAGCATTGTCTTCTGACATCGAGGCGCAAGTACATTAATTAAGCTAAATAAAGAATTAATTGACGCAGCTTCTTCTACCACAGTAAATTCTGTTTTTACTGTTGATATTTGGTGCCAGTTTAATCAGGAAGTGACAATTTTTTTCTCTTTGACTCGTTGGATGGAATTTTATTCGCATCTTTTATGCAATATTCCAGTTTTGCACATACATTTATGTAATATATTTGGATGGAAACATAGCTATTGCCTACATTTTAGTCACACACAGAAGAACTGTACGAGAATGGCTTATCTTTTTTTAATAAATAATTTAATTAAATTCACCTTCGACATGCACTTTAACTAGATTAATGGGATTATTATTCTTTCTAAAAATTATTTTTAGTACTGCTTACCTTCTTAATGTTATATTAACCTCTATCACTTGATCAATAAAAAAGGCAGACACACAAGTGCACTGTTAAATCATTTAAAACTAATAAATAAAACGTCAAAAAAATATAAACGTCACAAATTACATTACTTATTTTATTATACTTAAATATTTATATACTTAAAAAGTGAAATTAGGCATTAACTTGAGCAGCTGTTTTCCACGCTATCTGTCTCTTCTTCACTGATGGTTGCTTCTTTTCAAATATATACGCTCATATTTGCTATAACTTTGCATGAGAACATCAAGTTCAGCTGGAGAAAGAAATGGTGATCTCTTTTATAAGATATTGCCATAGTCACTCGTAATGTCTGCGCTCCATTGATAATGCCTTTTTAAAGTCACGGTGTGCGCGCTTAACTCTGAGTTGGTCTACTCGAAGTTGATTGACCCAACTCAGATCAGCTGTTCTGAAACCGAAAACTCAGAGTTTTTAATCTCTCGGTAAATCAACTCAGAGTTCACGTTTAAACTCTGAGTTGTTTGAACCTCCTTACTGAAACAGGCCCCTGCTGTGATTTCAGCCTGAATAGCAGCAACAGAAGAGTGGTGTGAGAAATTGAATATAATAGGCGTCTGTGCGCTGCTTTTGTAATCTAACGTTACTGTAAATAAGCTGTGTTCAAGAGGGCGTTATCATCTTCCTGTGCGAGTCTGGAACAAACCGACCTGTTTCACAACTAGATCCAGCAGTTACTGATCAGATCTGCTCGTGTGAGTATAATGTTTTTCCTTTTGTTAACATGCGGAGGACTGCTCGCGGTTTACCTGCTGCTGCGGGTGACGGTGATGAAAATGCCGAGATGTACAAGTACCGCTAGGCTGGACGGGAAAACGGTAATCGTGACCGGTAAGTGCTCCATTTATAATAGCGCGTTTGTTCGTGCTTTACAACCAGTAACCCGTGTCTTAATTTCTATCATTATTAGTAGATTAATAGAGTAAGCTTATAGTGATTTTTACACTCGTGTTTAACACGCTCCAGGAGTGTTATGCAATGATGAACTGGCAGCTCGTGTTGTACTGCTGAATCTGATGTAAGCTGATAAACAGATATGACTGACTGACATTTGTGCTGGATTAATAATTGCAGGAGCAAACACTGGAATCGGCAAAGCCACCGCGATGGACCTGGCGAGAAGGGGAGCTCGTGTAATTCTCGCCTGCAGGGATGAAGGCAGAGCTCAGGCTGCGGTCACTGACATCCAGCGGGTGGGTGAGACTTTAAACACTTCCGGGTAATGATCGAGCGCACTGAAATAAAGCTCCACCAGGGGGCGCGTGTTAACATGTTCAGGTGCGTTGCGTCATTATAGGTGTTTGTCCAAGCAAATATTCTCACACGTACACACATACATCCGATCAAAGACTATAGAATAATACCCTTAAAGCAATGGTTCCCAAAGTGGGGGTCAGGGCCTCCTGGTGGGGTTGCTTGGTGTTTTCCAAAAATCAAATAATTTAGATGAAAAAATATT